GTTCAGCTCCTTTACTCACCTTGTAAAGTCTTGGCAGTTCTTTGCTGAGCCTACGAGCAATATACGGGCCGAATCAGTTAGTGTCTAGCCCGGGCCAACAATGAACTTACTATATGTGCTAACAACGGATAGGGCTACTAGGCGTCGCCTCGAGATCTACAACATCAGGCCATCTTACGGACGAAGGCGACCATGATAGAGTTTAGGCTGGGACGATGGGGTAACAAGCGCTCTCAAGATCGAAGATGTTCTAGGCTGAAACAGCCTTCCAGCTTGAATGGCTGCCTACGGCCCGACATTGTTCTGAGGTCCTTCTTACCTCTTTGGTCAAGAGTTAACGTTACGACGGAGGGGGCGAGGGCGGGGAGACGGGGAGGCGGGGGACCGACGAACGCCTCCTTCCTCTTCATCCTTCGGACACTTGGATGGCTGGCTTCGATGCTGCTTGGTTAGGTTTAGTCTCGTGATGCAGGAAGCGAGATGTGGGCAGGTCCAAGCTTAGAGATGGGTTGCCCCGGATGTCAAAGTGTAGCCTTAGGTAACCTGTCACCTTGTTAGGGGGGTAAGGTTGAAGCCCTAGATTAGTGACACGAGACCTCTGGGGGAGAGGTAGCAAGCCACCACTAACCTTATTTCTCGAATCCTGAGCCGGACATGGAAGCCCTTCCGTGAGATTGGCCGGTCGAGCAGGGCAGCTAAGGGAAGCAATAGCCAAATGCAGCGAATTCTGACTTGAGAGGTCCTTTTGGTTCTACGTTTCGAGGTCTTCGTTCTGTCGACGTTTCGCTCGCCTGGCGTAGGTGTTCCGTGGCGTACTCTCCCAGATGATTGGCCTACTCGAAGAGAGGGGAGGATTTCCTCTATTCTGCTTGATGTGATAATAGTGAGAGAGAATCATGCTTGCTTGCTCATTGGGCCGGGGAACGAAGGGAGGTGGTGGAGAGGAAAGGGGGCGCTCGGGGATCGTGTAACCCGACATGCCCACGCCTGAGAACCTAACCTTTGATCGTTGTGGATATGTGGCTGTTGCATATGCGGACCTTTTGTGTGTTTCGCTGGAGCGTTGAACTCTTGTAGGGCGGCAGCGGTTTTGACCGTTGGCGATGGATACGCTTCGTTTGGAGCAGGAGGATAGGAGCGCGTGTATGTTGTGGGGTGACGAGTCACAGGTTGCGAGCCATCCGGTGGATCGAGGACATCTAGGTCAACATGCTAAAAAGGTTCTTCAGATATAAGACTTGAGGACCTCGCATAATTTGAAGAGATGAATCAAACCTGACCTTGAACCAGATAACTTTTCGTCCCAAACGCTCTTTCGTCGGAACATTCCCATTCACTCTGATCTTTGATCCGTCTTTATTCCGTATTCCGAGATCCGACGACAACATGTATGCCACCGGTATTGTGCGTTCTCCCAAACACCTCATCGAAAGAATGAACCTCGAAAAGCATGCTCATTACATCGTCTGCTTTGCCACGATCCCACGCGATAGCCCTGAGCACCCATCCAACAGAACGACGACGACTGAGGGGGAATTGTGTCGATATCACCTGTGGGTGTTTGACTCTCCGCCGGTCGTTCTTCCTGTCCTCGAGGAGAATCTTGTCGTTCCGAATGGTTCTAGCAACTTCAGAATCAGACTGAGTGGCTTCGGTAAAGGGGTCCCGTCAGAATTGTTAGAGAGGATGACAGATATCCTGCGAGTTCGCATACAAGCTTCTTATTAGGGCATTCTTGATGTATCTCGCATCGGCTGGGCAGAGCGTTGGCGTTTAGGACTTTGACTTTTCCACCGGGCTGTTTTGCAACCTTGCTGGAAATATCTTCTTTGGCGCCGAAAGTTCTGGGTTGCTCTGCTACAGAAGAGACCGAGGAGAGCAAGGCTGAGAAGTAGGGACTGATCTGAAGACTTTTACTCGACCCCCATCCTGCCTCAATTCCCCCCTTTACCATCTTTGTCTTATCTGGTCATCTGCGTACATCTTTTCTAAGGTGGAAGGAAGGACCGCCTGGTGTCGGTCCACTGCCTCTACGAGGCTCCTGCCTTCCCACTTCACCTTCACCTCACCTGCAAGGCTGCCTGCACTTTCCACCCACCTTACGCCTCGTTCCTTCCCGGTCTGGAAACCACTCACGAACGCGCCTTCCATCCGACCTTCAGACTGCGACCTTCCCTCCCGTCCCTTCAAGGCACATTTAATTCCTGCCCTGCACAGCATCGACCCCCGGCCCCTCCCCTTGACTCTCCATCCACTCCTCTTCCTCTCGTCCTCCCGCCGTCTATCTTCCAACCCATCCGTTTCCCCCCTTCAACTTGCAATTTTCGTCAACAGCCGCTTCGTGACAGCTTCACCTCCCGTCTCGACTTCCAGACGAGATGACCTGAAGCTTTTACATCCAGAGCAGTTGGCACCATCCTTTTCTTGATTCCTTCCTCAGTCTCATCATCAGTCTTCCTTCATCTGCCACAGCAACAGCAGCAACACAGCAGTCCTTTGGATGTTCCCCATCTGAGCAAGACTCCCCCAACTGGATCAAGAGAAAAGAAATTCGTCTTTGGTCAACGCTTATCCATATCAGGGTTTCCGATTTTGGTTGGATGCTTCCAAGTATTACGGATGCCTCTGAATCTCAACATGGATCATCTATCTTCTTCCTCGTCGGCGGCGGCGGGCACTACGACCTATACCCAGCAATCTGTCAGCACCTTCCAGCAGGATGTTCCTAGGCAAACCTACACGACTGCCGGTACCATCTACAACCCCAGCAACGCCCAGCAGCTCCAGCCTCCCGTTCGTCGCGGTCGCACCCTCAAGTGGCCTGCCCAGGGAGTCGCAGCTTCTGAGCTGTCTCTCTTTCCCAAGTCAGTTCTTGCTGGCTTGCCTCTCAAGTCCCAGAATCTCGTCACTACACCCACCAGTCCTCGCCCACCCCAAATCCCCAAGTACTCGCCTCTTCAGCAGAACTACGACCGCGCCGTCAGCCCTCTCACCGACTACAGCCTCGAGTCTCCGAATGAATTGGACGTCCGAAGCAATTCGCCTTCCTCTCTCATGCCATCTTACAGCATGAATAGCAACCAAGCCTCGCCCGTTGCTGCTGCCATGCCCACGTCTGTCGTGAACAAGCATGTCGATGCCAACTCAAGCGACGATGGAGATGATGAGAGCTTTGGCGAGAACCCTCTTCGTGGCCTGACTGTCAAGTCTCTCCACAATCTGGCCTCGTACCCCAACCCGAACCAGAAGAGAGCTCAGAGGGCCCTTCTTCGTGCTCGGCCGGGTACCACGCCGGCTCCATCTGCTGGCAACATCAGCCGCACGGCCACTCCGTCCTACGGAGCCCAGACCTTTGAGGGTTTCGATATGGGAAATGATGGCTCACATTCTCCTGCTCTGTTCCGTTCTGCCAAGACCGACCCGAACGACATCCTCAAGATGAAAGCCGATAGATCAGGCCACGACCCTGATAACTCCTGGCGCATCAACTGCACATCCCCGCCTCCGGGTCTCTTCCCAGCTGCCAACATCCAGAGAGATCTCCCGCAAGCAGCGTACAAGTCTACTCTGGCAACTGGCCCAGGTGCTCCTCGCCCCTTGACTGCAGGCCCTCCGGGCCACCGACAGTATCGGACATCGACGTTTGAGAACACGATCAAGGCCCTCAACAACGGGCCCAAAGAGATGCCGCTCGACGGACCCATGTTCGGCCAAGCAAACTTGGGCCTGCAAAAGCATATGACGCACGAAACTATGAGATTCTCAGGCACAGAGACACCCGTTCATCTTAAAAGCGGGCTCGATTCCCTTCTATGTGGCTCTACACCCGACACAGACGACTGCTACCAAGACGTCGTCGACGAAGCGAGCAGAATGTCTGATCAACAAATGGAGAAGGTTCTTGAGTATATCAAGCTTGGACAGAACATGAACGAAGCCACAAGCCGTGCTCAGGCTGCATCCGCCATGCCCGTTGTCTCTGGCGATGACTGGCCGGCCGACTACCCCAAGGCCGTTCGGCCTCCCTGGACGGAGGGTACGTGGACCATGACAGACGATGCGCTTCAGAAACGCAACGAGAGAATCAACCAGCTATTCCATGCAGGCACGGGTGCGCTTGGCAAATCGATGATGGCTGTTATCCAGGAAAAGGAATTCCGCGACTTCAAGCGCCAGGTTGGTGTCATTGGTGACCGACGACCCAAGGCCAAGGCTGAGAAGACTGAATACCCGCCCATCAAGGTTGATCGGCTTAACAAGATGACGGACTCAGAGGCGACAGAGCCCTTCCTCGCCATGGCCTATTCTGCCCTGGTGAACCACCAGGAGGGAGTTCACGATCACCCTCAATTCCATCAGTGGGAAGATCCAGAGCCACACATGGTTGACACGTCTGCTCAGGGTCTTCGATCAGTGTTTAGACGGTGATGAGTAGATTTCGTGGAGGTTTTCGTCAGTCATCTTCTGCTTCGTTAGCACCGTCGCTTGGATGGCGACCTGGTTTGAGACCCTTTGTGTGGATTACCTGGGGAAAGATCTTGGGATTGGGGACGATATTTAACAGAGCAGCAGCCCCCCAAAACATAGCTTAGAGGGGATACGAAGCAAGCTGTTCAGGGGGCGTTTGATTGAATTCTGGCGGTTACACAGGACAGCAATGGGGGTCATCAGTCTTTCCCACTTTATTACTCTCAGATAGGCAATCAAAAAGTTAAGGTATCTTCACATCGCTCTCACTTTCCAAGATGACGACTTTGAATCTTATGGAACATTGGCATCAAGTGAAGTCTGGAGATCAAGGCCTGGGCTTTTCAATGAAGCATGTGTAGTTCGACTGTACGGAGAGGTGTTCCCATGAGCTGGGTACCCTTGAAGCCAGATAAGATAGACGCGACGTGGAAGTGAAGTGTGGCTCCATGTCACGTGCAGAGACCCCACACTCATGTTCGCAACGCTACCCACCGACCATCAGGAGCAGCCAACTGTCCCATTCGAAGTCACCGACGCCGACCTCAAGCAGTCCGCCAAAAAACCGCTGCCCAACATGAGCTACGGCAAGAAAGACGAAGATGCGGATTTGGGCCTGGTGAAGGTGGACAGGACCCAGGTCTTCCAAGAAGGTGAGTTTTGACGGAATTGCACCCCGATTCTCTCCATCCCTCTGGAACCCCTTCGAGCATTGGCGGCGAGCAAGCTGGCTAAAATGGAGTGAACAGCACGACTATTCAACAGCTCCCCTATCCAGCCGCGAAGATGTCGAATTCTCCTTACCAAGATTGCCCTTCTGCTCTACACGGGCGAGAGGTTCCCCACGAACGAAGCGACGACCCTCTTCTTCGGTATCTCGAAGCTGTTCCAGAATAAAGATGCCAGCTTGCGACAGATGGTCCACCTTGTCATCAAGGAGTTGGCTCACTCGGCCGAGGATATTATCATGGTCACCAGCACCATCATGAAGGATACAGGAGGCAGCACCGATGCCATCTTCCGACCCAACGCCATCAGGGCCCTGTGCCGCATTATCGATGTACGCCGAAGCTCTGAGCTATACAGAAGGGAGAGGGCAGTCTGCTAACTAGCTTTCAGGCGACCACAGTTCAGTCCATTGAGCGTGTGATGAAGACGGCAATCGTCGACAAGAACCCCTCCGTATCTTCCGCAGCCCTCATTTCCTCCTACCACCTCCTCCCGATCGCCAAGGATGTCGTCCGCCGCTGGCAGAGCGAGACGCAGGAAGCTGCGGCCTCCACCAAGTCCTCGAGCGGCTTCTCCCTGGGCTTCTCCTCCTCGAGCGGCCAATTGCCCGCCAACAACTCTACCATGCCCCAGTACCATGCCATTGGTCTGCTATACTCGATGCGCATGCACGACCGCATGGCACTCGTCAAGATGGTGCAGCAGTTCGGTGCCGCCGGTGCGGTCAAGAGCTCTGCGGCGATCGTCATGCTCGTCCGTCTGGCTGCCCAGCTCGCCGAGGAGGACCCGTCGCTCAGAAAGCCCATGATGCAGCTGCTGGATGGCTGGTTGCGCCACAAGAGCGAGATGGTCAACTTCGAGGCTGCCAAGGCCATCTGCGATATGCGAGATGTCACCGACGCCGAAGTCTCCCAAGCCGTTCACGTTCTCCAGCTCTTCCTCACCTCCCCTCGTGCCGTCACAAAGTTCGCTGCTCTCCGAATCCTCCACAACTTCGCCTCCTTCAAGCCCAACGCCGTCAACGTCTGCAACCCCGACATCGAGCTCCTGATCTCCAACAGCAACCGATCCATTGCCACCTTTGCCATCACCACCTTGCTCAAGACCGGTAACGAGGCTAGCGTTGATCGCTTGATGAAGCAGATCTCTGGCTTCATGTCTGAGATCACGGACGAGTTCAAGATTACCATCGTCGAGGCTATCCGCACGCTCTGCTTGAAGTTCCCTAGCAAGCAGGCTGGTATGCTTGCCTTCCTGAGTGGCATCCTCCGGGACGAGGGTGGTTACGAATTCAAGCGTGCCGTCGTCGAGAGCATGTTCGATTTGATCAAGTTTGTGCCGGAATCCAAGGAGGATGCTCTTGCCCACCTTTGCGAGTTTATTGAGGACTGCGAGTTCACCAAGCTGGCGGTTAGAATCCTTCATCTGCTCGGTCTCGAGGGACCCAAGACCTCTCAGCCCACCAAGTACATCCGCTACATCTACAACAGAGTGGTTCTGGAGAACGCCATCGTGCGTGCCGCCGCTGTCACTGCTCTTGCCAAGTTTGGTGTCGGCCAGAAGGATCCCGAAGTCAAGCGCAGCGTCGAGGTTCTCCTTACAAGATGTCTGGATGATGTGGACGATGAAGTCAGAGATCGTGCAGCCCTCAACCTCAGACTCATGCACCAGGAGGATGAGATCTCGGAGAAGTTTGTCAAGAATGGTACGTTTGATGTGGAAAGTTTTGTAGCACTCCTTACTAACCCCCTTACAGATAGCATGTTCTCTCTGCCGTACTTTGAGCACCAGCTCGTCATGTACGTCACCTCGGAGGACAAGTCCGCATTCGACAGCCCCTTCGACATCTCTCAGATCCCTGTCGTTACTCGCGAGCAGGCAGACGCGGAGGACCGGACGAAGAAGCTCACGGCAACTGCCCCGTCTCTCAAGCCTCCCAAGGTCGGTCCTACAAAGGCCGCTGCAGGTGGCGCGGAGGCTGCTGCATCGGCAACTGCGGCTTCTCAGCGTTACGCCCAGGAGCTGATGCAGATCCCCGAGATGAAGGAGTTTGGCAGCGTGCTCAAGTCGTCGCCCGTTGTCGAGCTTACCGAGTCAGAGATGGAGTACGTCGTTACCGTCGTCAAGCACATTTTCAAGGAGCACATTGTGTTCCAGTACGAGGTTAAGAACACGCTGGATGCGACCGTTCTTGAAAACGTCTCCATCGTGGCGACGCCTTCCGAAGAGGAGGAGCTCGAGGAAGTCTTCATCATCCAGGCCGACAAGCTTCCCACGAATGAGCCGGGAAAGCTGTACGTGGCCTTCAAGAAGGTCAACGGTGAGGGCTCCATGCCCGTTAGCAGCATCTCCAACGTTCTCAAGTTCACGAGCAAGGAGATCGACCCCACGACAAACGAGCCAGAAGACACTGGCTACGACGACGAGTACGAGGTTGCCGAGTTCGACCTGTCAGGAAGCGACTATGTCATTCCGACATTCGCCAGCAACTTCAACCACATCTGGGAGCAGGTGGGCGCGGCCGGCGAGGAGGCCGAGGAGACTTTGCAGCTCAGCAGCATGAAGAGCATAGCAGGTGAGTACTTGATGGGTGTATTTGTCATGAATAGAGCTAACCATGAAACACAGAGGCAACGGAAGAATTGGCAAAGGTCTTGTCGCTGCAACCCCTGGAGGGTACGGATGTGCCCGTCAACCAAACGACACATACCCTCAAGTTGCTCGGAAAGACTGTTGGCGGTGGCAGGGTGGTGGCCAATGTCCGGATGGCATACTCGTCCAAGTCTGGTGTGACGACCAAGATTACGGTCCGCAGCGAGGAAGAGGGCGTAGCGTCGCTTGTTGTTGCGTCAGTTGCTTAAGGAAGAGAGTTGTTCGGAGTTTTGTGGGATCGATACATGGTCGGATATTCCAAGCAAAGACGCACGTACGGCAGCGCAAAGATACGAGGACTTTGATTACAGCCCGAGGTACTCAACCGAGCAGCCGCCACCATAGTAGTTTTGGGGGTGTCAAGCAGGAGTTGGAGCGCATCAGCGTGCGCGTAAAAGGACTGGCGGCTTGCGTATACTAGAATGAAGACATGAAAAAGCATCACGAAGTACTGATAGATCTATGTGTGAAGTGGGATGTCTGTATCTAAGAGATCGACCAAGACCAGGTTATTCATGCTGCGAGTTGGCCATACCAAGGTACTATGAATAGTTGTACTGTGTAGATGGGTAAGGTAGGTAGCTCGACGCCCAAACCCTGTCAGTATCCAGCCGTGTGTTAAATCGGAATGGTCAAGCCTCAAGGCGCATGTCAGTTGATCGACGTGGAGCGGAGCCGGTGTTGGTGCTGAACTTGGGCTTGACGATTAATACTTGAGGGGGGGGGGGCGCTTAACACGTGTGGCACGGGCCAGTAGGCTAATCCCAAAGAGGACTGGTTGAAATTCGAGAGCTCGGAGCCGGGACAGAATGACGTTCGGTGACGGAGTTCTCTGCGTGTGCGTTAAAGCTGAGCTGTCCAAGGAAGGGTAGTAAAAAAAATAGCTTGGTCCTTTCGGCGCGACACGACGGCCACGCGACCTTTCCGCTGTTACCACATGTCAAGTTCGTTCGCTGGCTTCTCAACCTCTGCTCAACGCAACTTGACTTTCTCTTGAAGTAACCTCGTCGCTTGTCTCGGGATAATTCTGACCACCTTTGGCGAACGAAAGTCTTTTTAACAAGTCTAGTTCGCTCGTCTCCACATGCTCTTTTGAAGCTTTCCCCCCCCCCCCCCCCTTCCGCCCTGCCCACCGCACAAACCTTGTCCACCACCCCGCCGAAACCGAGTCCTCGACCAACCCCGGTTTGAAGCCATCGTCACCGCTTGAGGACTGGACCGACGTACGGATACCTCTTCGGACCCATATACTGGCCCTACGGCGCTCTTGCTTGTCTTCCCCGGGACCCGCGTGGAGTCCGATCCGCCAGACAACAGCGAAGGAAAAAAAATAAGAGCTTCCCGACAACAAAAGGAACAGCACGGCAGGAAACAAATCCCCGCGGTTCTCTGCACCTCTTCGCAACTACACCACACGTAGGGGCCAAAACACAACTTTGTTGCCCAAGAATATCGAGATCGTCACCGAAATCATCACTCGCCCAAGATGGTCTACGTGCGCCAGGAACGCCTACCGGCGCTCAAGGAGTACAAGTACTCTGCCGTCGACCACTCGCTGACGTCAAAGTACATCCTGAAGCCCTTTTACACGAACGTTGTGATCAAGATGTTCCCCATGAGCATGGCCCCGAACCTCATTACGCTGACGGGCTTCACCTTTGTCATTGCAAACGTCCTGACGCTGCTCTGGTACAACCCGACCCTCGACCAGGACTGCCCCAGCTGGGTGTACTACTCGTGGGCCATCGGCCTGTTTTTGTACCAGACTTTTGATGCCGTGGACGGATCGCAGGCGTGAGTAGCTCTTTTCCTACAGTTCCCATCTTCTGGTTTAGAATTTCCTCGAGAAGACAACGGAAAGCTAACGTGGAATATTTGCGAAATAGTCGACGAACCCACCAGTCCGGACCGCTCGGCGAGCTCTTTGACCACGGTGTCGACGCGCTCAACACATCCCTCGAGGTCCTCGTCTTCGCCGCGTCTCAAAACATGGGCCAGGGCTGGATGACGGTCGCCGTTCTCTTCTCTTGTACGTATTTTCTGTCTAGGTTGAGCCCGTGAAGCCGAAAAGCAGAGACTAACACAAACCCCCCATAGCCCTCCTCACCTTCTACGTCCAGACCTGGGACGAGTACCACACAAAGACCCTGACCCTCGGCATCGTCAACGGCCCAGTCGAGGGCGTCCTCATCCTTGTCGGCGTCTACGCCCTGACCGGCTACATGGGCGGCGCCTCCTTCTGGCAGCAGTCCATGCTCCGCACCTTTGGCGTCTCTGAGAAGCTGGGCGTCCCTGCCGCCCTGTACGAGCTGTCCTTTACGCAGTGGTACATGGTCCAAGGCTCCTTCGTCCTCGTCCTCAACACGATCGAGTCGGCGCGCAACGTCATCCAGGCCCGTCGCGCACGCGGCGACCGCTCCCGCGGCGCGCTGCTGGGTCTCCTACCCTTCTTCGGCATGTGGGTGCTCATCATCTCGTACCTGCTCCTTAACCCGGCCATCCTGCACGCCCATCTCGTGCCCTTTGTCATGTTCGCCGGCGTCGTCAACGCCTACTCGGTCGGCCAGATGATCACTGCCCACCTCGTCAAGCTTGACTTCCCCTACTGGAACGTCCTCGGCCTGCCGCTCGCCTTTGGCGTCGGCGATGCCTTGGGTCCCGTCCTGCAGAACAACTTTGGCTTCGGCTGGCCTAGCGTCCTCGGCGATGGTGTGTACCAGGTCGCCTTCATGTTCTCGATGCTCGGCATGGCTGTCGGCGTGTACGGCAGCTTCGTGGTAGATGTTATTGTCACCATTTGCGATTACCTTGACATTTGGTGCCTGACCATCAAGCACCCGTGGGTCGAGGGCAAGGAGAGCAACGGCAGCGCCCAGGTTGCCGGTAAGAAGTCGCAGTAAAGGTGATTTACCGATTTACAGTCTTTTACCAGCTTCATTTGCGTATCGCACGGTTTGAGGCCCCGGACGACCAGACCAGACCAGACCAGACCAAATCAAGCCCTCCACCCGATATTTGGTCGCAGATTTGCAGCCGGTGGGAGAGTTGGAGGTTAAGATTGAAGAATGAAGATTTGACGGGATCAGAAAAGGCTGCAGTCCTTTTTCATGGTTACGCTCGGATCCCTTTTCGAATTTTTTATTTATTTATTTTTTTTACCAGAGAGAGAACAGCGTAAAAAAGAGACGTAAACCTTCGTGTGGCCGGTGTCGCGCAAACTTTTTTTTCATTTTGCCCTCTCCATCTTTCTTTTATTTTTCCTTCTTGGGCATCGGCACGAGATGCTTGACTCGGACGACCTCCCAACGAACAAACAACTATAATGATAACTTTGACGAACCGGGGGGAGGGATGGACGGGTAGGGGGAGGGGGGTAAACAATACACGGAACATGACAGACGATGATGACAGGCGGGAAATGGACCCCGGGTGGCGGTTTTTCTCTCTTTGCCTTTACGTTAGTCTTGGGACGGGACTGACTGAACGGATGGACGGGGGGAGGTGCGGGAAAAGTAACAATGTGATGGGAAGTCTTGTGTTTTCTCAACCATAGTGTCTTCTGGGGATTTTGTGCTTTCTCCTGTTTTCGAATGGCAGAGTACTTCATGCGGCGTGTCTTGTTATTTCTTTATGAGTTCCATTCCATTTCTGGGCATCCTCAAGGAGTTCGGGGTGTGTGTGGATGGGATAATTGCATTACATTAGTAAAGGCGGGAGAAGGCGAGAGAGAACTGTAATCTCTTCTTTCCTTCTCTCTCTCTCTCTCTCTCTCTCTCTCTCCATTTGATTCTTCAAACGATTCGGCTATCAGTTCCCGATATGGAGGCTCGTTGTTTTTGTTTTTTGACACTTTTCTTTCATGAAGTCCCGGGGTCGAAAGTATCCAATAGTTGTGTCTTTTCCCGCCTCTACTCTTGTATCTGTGTTAAGCAAGCTTAGATAGACGAAGAGAGAACCCTCCCAACCTGATTCTCTTTCCAATTACCCAATATCTACACCTCTTTTGCATGTAGAAACATATTAGCTAAGGAACAATTTCGTCCCTTTAATCCGTAAGGGTGCCCAGCACTTATTTCGTACCATGGTTCAGTGTCCAAGACAAACGCAGTAAAACGTTGAACCTCGGCTTACGTTAGGTTCATAAGTTATTTCCCGAGCCTCTCGGTTTCGGCGATTTTGCGAGTAATGTAAGAGACCAAAGGAATTGGGAAAAATAAAAAGCCCCGAAGGAGGGAGGGACCCCGGGGAAGGGACCCCGGGGAAGGGGAAGGGGAAGGGCCTCACCTCTGGGTAGGTAGTCATCAGTCGAAAAGGGGATCGGGGGAAATGGGTAAAGAGGACGGACGGGATGGTCATACACAGCCAGGTAGACGGTCAATAAACGATTAGGTATAGAGAAATCCATCCTCATTGGCGGCATTTCACACAGCGCAGGCGGAACCCCGCCTGTCGCCGCCTTCTTCGCCGCTCGCCCCGAAATCCGAGGTGAGCCTAGGGATAAGGTAGGCATCGATGTAAGATGGTCTCTGTCATAATCTACCTGCGAAGTAGAATATGCACGAACCGTGGCATCATCTTAGGCTAGGAAACACGTGGGGTGGGAATACCAGATATATCAAGACAATGTCATGTTTCTTTCTCAACGATATCTCGATGAAGTATACTCGCATCCAAAGGAACCCCATCACATCATCCCGACAAGAGAGGAAGATCTGAAGCCAGATCCTTCTTGCCCCCCTCAGGCAAGCAGTCCAGTCGCCTTTCTTCCTTCGCTTGGAAATCGCCTTGGGAAATCAGACCAGAGTAAACCCCAAATAGCATGCAATTTGCCCCATGAAAGAAAACCACGAAAATTCCGAGAATACCGACAAGGCAGCATGTGCTGCCTAAGATAGATCGTGCGCGCTTCCTCTGGCGTTACTGATGATGTCCAACATGCTCCAAAACCCCATAAGCCGTGCCGGCGACGACATCTTTGTTGCCTAGGTCGTAGTCGTCGCCATGCAGCGTCGTTTGTGATTCCCCGTGTAAAAAGACGCCATGTCGTCTAGTAGAAATGCTTCGCCACGTCATTTACTTCATGCTGTCGGTACTGCCCGTCGAATAGCGTCTGATATCGTACGTCGTTTTAGCAGGCGTTTCGTTCCCCCTCCGTCTGTTTGACTCCGTTTAACCAAATGGAACCTAAACGCCGAACCTAGCCCCGATGCACAGGCGGGCCGCGGTGTTGTGTCCGTTGCACCTTGGTGCTGCACGTCGCTTACAAAGCGCACCCCTCGGGTCCCGCTGTTGGGATTCTCTGCCGCCTAGACAAGAGACTCTAGAGCAATTCGTCACTCCCGCTCGCAACGCTGCCTTCGATGGCTTCGATGATGCAGCGCTCCGAAAACACGGGGCCCTGGCCGTCGCATCGTGCTTGATTCTTGAGTCTTTCGCTCACGTCGCCGACGTCCACCAGACCTCTCTTAAACAACGGGTGACTGATAATGAAGTCCCACGTAGCACCCGCCGCCAGCAAGCGTTCTCCGTCGGATGAAATGGCGACTCTATGACTCGGCGTCTTGTTGTTGTGCGGCGCTAGCAGGTCTGTGTAGAAGTCTTTCGGGTTGTAGTGCATGGGACCTGTCGTCCGGGGTTCTGGTGATGCAGAGCTGTGGTGGCCGTTCATCGACGAGGTTGCACGGAGAATCTCGTTTTCGGTGCTGATCTTTTGCATCTCGCGTTTGAGCCGTTCGTTCTCCGTCGACTTTTGTTGAGCTTCCGCCTCTAGGTTCGCAAGCTTGGCCTCCAGGTCCTTGACATGCCTCTCCTTTCGTTCCCGGAATGCGCGTTGCCTATGGGTTCCTTGTTAGTGATAACGAGCAATGCGAAATACCGTGCCGCCTGAGACGATAAACACGCAAGGCAGAGGAACAACGTACGCGGCGCGATTTTGTGCTTTCCTCCTCGATTGCGCGGGCGTCATGCTTTCTTCATCGTCCGAATTCGATTGCCCCCGACGAGAATGATCGTCGAGGGGCTCCTGCTTGTGGACGAGGGCATCAGGTTGAGCCTTGATCTGCTGGACCGGGGGAGCGCTCATCCCATTGTGTTGCGTCCGTTGCTGTTGTACGGGCTGCTGCACAGGTAGGCCATGGTTCGGTGGTGTCGGAGGGCCAGGAGGGCCAGGAGGGCCGGGGAATGATGTATGCTGGGGGTTGAACTGCTGGGCAGCAGCGTAGTTATCAAAGTTATTGAAGTGCTGCTGGTCGTTGGGATATTCGGCGTAGACATCCTGATCGGTCATGATTGTGTAAGTGCATGTCGCAGTACGCTAAGCGGCAATCCACCAGTGACCTGTGGGTGTTCGGGGCTCGAGTCGGGAAAGGAATGCCCGTTTGGATTCGACTTACCGGTGGAGATGTTGTGTTGAAGTCGTCTGAACCTGCCGAGTTTGAATGGGATGGCGTTAGGGGTGGGATGCCCATGAACTGGTACGGCTGTGCTTGCGCGAAATACTGGTGAGAGAAGTCCATGGTCGCGATCCTACTTTCAACGTGTGTTGGACGACTTTGTTGTTGAAGGTATGGAAAGAAATGGGAAAATAGTAGAAGAGAAGTGGGAAGCGGATAGGCGTGTCTTGATGAGGGTCCAGGTCCCAGGTCCCAGTTCAGGTGTACTCGGTAGAGGGGGGGAGGGGGGTGAGGAGAAGGAGGAGGAGGAGCGGGGCGGCGCAGATTGGAGAGGGTCGAGGTCTCTACTACTGTGTAGCCGTACTCCGTAAGGATAGGCAGGTTGAGGTGCTGGGAGAAAAGCGGCGGTAGCGTCCACACCAGGCTAGCGCCCCGGGGCAACAGGGCGAGATGGCACTGTTTAGAGGATGGGACGAGTTGGGTGGATGGGGGTGGCACTGGTGGCTCGGGGCGCAAGGAGGGTGATGCGAGTAATCTGGAATTGTTGTTTGCAAGAGGCAGAGGAGAGAAGATAAGAGAGAGAAAGAGATAGAATGAGGATGAGGATGGGAATGGGAATGGAAGAAAGCGGGCGGAAGAGGATCGAAGGCGTAAGCAAGCCTAGTTGCCAAAGGGTTCTCGTCCTATGGTTGTGTTGCTCGCCAAGACTCAGGTAAGAGAGTGTGAGCGGTGGTGTACAACGAGGAGGAAGAGTCTCTTATGGTTCGTATGTTCTCCAGAGTCCAGAGTCCAGAAGACGTCGAGTGAGGTGGTGCGAGAGAGCACAGGCCAGGATAGGCCAGGGCGAAAGACGTGGAGACTGCAGTTGGTTCCAGACGCTAAGGCTCAGCAGGTTAGAGCAGGACTCTTTGATGATGGACAACGCAGGAGGAGCCGAGAAGACCGGGGTTGGCGAAGATGCTGGTGCTCCCGAGTCCCCCACGCACTTTTGGGCTCCAGGCCGCAGACCAATTATGGTAAAGGGAGTGCGGCGTGCCGTGCCTGGAGCAGCGAGACTCCAAGAGGGCGTTGGTGGACGTGCGGGACGTCAAGGAATGCTGCAAGCTGCAGTGCGGGTTGCAGGGCCAGACAAGAACGGGACAGGGTCTCGTACGACAAACAGGTGGCGCAAGTTTCGAGGGCTTGTCTCAGTGCCGCTAGCGTGCAGTGGATGGGAGTCGGTTTTGGATCTTTTGTGTGTAGGTATGCCTGGTGTGGTGCAAATGCCAAATGGAAGATGGTGGTTGTAGACTTGCAGATCGAGTGAGTAAGTAGGTACGGATATAGACAGGCACGGGACGATAGACGTCGGGTGTCTAGGGATGCCTCTTTTAAAGGGTTATTGGCACCCGAGGCATATGTGATGACGATCAACAAGTGCGGTGACCTCAGGGACTTGAGATGGATAGGACGAGCAACGATGTCCGGATGAAAAGCAATGGCAGTTTGCGTTCGCGCGTCTTTGCCAAGTGAACTGGTCAGTCTTAGTTGTTAGGGTATCGCTTTCGAGACTGGATGGACATTGTGTGGCCGGAGTGCTGGTGCTGGCTCAAAGTCCGCCGGGGCATGTGTACGAAGTAAGGATGGATATACACAGCAATGCAGGCAGACTCGGACTCAGGGCAATCTCTTTGCGTTTGATTTCTCGGGCTTCTCTTCTGATGTCATGAAGTTGGGAAACCCAGGTCGGGACGAGTCGAGGTGTGACATAACCAAACCTAAGGAGGTCGGTCCCAGTCTGGAGAGCAGCCAGCATAAGGTACCTACCTATCCGGCGAGGTCAAAACGAATCGGAAGTGGGTGTACGAGGGAGAGGGTCATCCAATAGGTTGGACAGGCCGATGATGTTGAGCAACATCTCAGACTCTATTTGTCCATTCGTACAGAATCACCATCCGTAGGTACCTTCAGGCTTCTGGTGGCTGCACGTGGTCCGGGCAGTCAGTCCCCAGAAAGCTTGGGGGACTCCTTGACGTCGTTCGTGACTCGTCTGAGTTGAGAGACGAAGGGTCTCGCTCCAGCCCTCCCTCCCTCTCGCCCCTCGTTGGAGTGACAGCGGGGATAAGGCTGCTGTCGATGAAGCAAACAAACCCCGAATCCAAGTTTGTTGGTTGGAGCAGAGTATTGACAGATGGCCGATCCCTGGACAGAGTTGGCACTTGTTGGTGGAACTGGCCTGATCAGTCGGTCCAAGTCCAAGACTAATAGTAAGGGACGTTTTCCTGTCGAGTGTCGACACACTGACGCAGTACTCTAGGTGGACTGTGTGAACCAGTCATTTGTTGTTTACCTACACTGGGCATGAATAGATGACACTTGGGATTAGATGGCGACGATGGGATCAGGTAGATGGAATGAGACCGGGCCAAGCGGAAATAATTTGTTGGGCAGAAATTGGTGTATTGATCCAGACCGATCTATCGATTCGATGCGAGTGTAATCAACAAGACGCCTGTTCAAGGAAAAGTATTCGTAGAAATTGGGATTCGTATTATTAGCTGGTGTCTGTAGTTGATCCGTGACTCCGTGATGCCAAGTTGCCAACGAGACGCCGGGGATGTGAATGATGGAGGCGTTAAAGTCTAAAGTCTAAAGCTCCGTGATCCATAATCCGTAAAGTACCTTGCCGCACACAGCAGGAGAGAGTGAGAGAAGTGGTGGCCGGGAGCAAATACGTCCGTCCCGTGCTTGCCTCATCAACACACAGCAATTGAGCATCTCCTGGTTCCTCCTCCCTTGGATTAGGTTGTTCAAGCTTCAAGCAAGATACACCAAGCAAAAAAACATGAAGCAGCAGGCACATGGGAAGCGTACCCTCGAGTGACCTACCAGTAGTCTTCTTACCAATGTACCCCGTACCTAACTAAGGTGCTAAGAAGGTAGTCTGAGGCGCCCCTTGGATTTCGCAGCGGGCCATGCCGCCGGGCGCTCCTCCTCTTCCTCCTGCCACCTGGGCCTGGCAGGTCTGGGATAGGCAGCAGCTGACAGGGCCAACAAGTTCCAGATTCCAAGACAGGGCGAGTTGAGGTACATTCCGGCTTGGCTGGCTCCATACCGAGCCCTGAAGTAGATGGGACCTTTCCTCTCCTGCCCAAGTGCGTGGGAACGGATGCTCTCTCCGAGACAGCCTCAACTCCCTCGCTCATTCAACAGAGTACGGAGTACCTACACACCTCTAGGTATCCGTATGCGTGTATGCTTACAACTTACGACACTTGTTCCATTGTTGTGCTTTCTTCTCTTCGCAACACCTTGATTGTTTTTCCCCCTTCCCTGTCTCCATCCACTGCAAGCTCCTTCATCTACCTGTTGCTCACGTACCCCCTTCTCGAGACGTTGGCGCACTGGCAACCGGCACCAGCACCAGCCTTGCAGCTCAGCACTGCACTGCATCGCATCGCATCGATCTTCCAGACAAACACTTCGTCCGGGGGGTGCCACCGGGGTCCACGGGGGGGCTTCAGGTCCACGGCGTTCGTTTCCCGTTTCTGCATGACCTCCGGCAAGGGTATCCTCCCTCCTCACCGGTCATGTATGCAGCTCTGCCTCTGCCCACCAAGAAAGTTAAATCCAATGGCCCTATGGCTGCGCCGCCTGCCCGAGCAAATGCAACCTGGCCGACCCTACCGCACCTTACAGACTCACAGACTCAGGTCACACAGCTATTTCCCAGCAACTATGGGCTCCCCTACGGCAACAGCGTTGCGCCTCGAGGTACCTCCCGTCCTTTTCCCCTCACCAACTTACAACTGTAACCTGCCGTCTTATGCCTCAACTCTCCATGTTGACGTTGCCTGTCGAGCAACATCCGAGATGAACTGTCCTACTGCATCTTCCAGGCTAATCAGACTTTTTCCAGACCTTCGTGACCATCATCTTCGTCATCTCTTCTTTCGATGGATCTGCTGCTACCCACTATCTCCAACCTCGTCACAAGACTCTCCCGCAATCCAGCTCAGACGTGCCAGGCTGATTGTTTTTGGCCATCCACAATCACTATGCCATTTCTTTCGGCGACCTGATCTATTTTCTCGGAAACTTCTCGGAAACTTGGATAGGTCCGGACGGGCACACCAGGGCACCGAGACGGATCCCCGGCGGACAGCAACTCCACTTCGCAACCAGAGACTCCGCAGCGTGCCAGCGCAAGCAAATCTCCAACATCCCTGGGGGCATCAACCGCGACTCGAGCTTCCCGTTGCATGGAAGTGTTGCCTTCACAGGAACCCGTACCCAGCCGTCTTAGCCGTCCGCCGGCCGCCCTCCCTCCGTTTTACCGCAACACGCACCTACGACGATGACCCCCTCTCCTCTCAGTCTCGCCCCGTCTGTGTCTTGGCCTCGTTTTCGTGAACCCAAGTCTGGACTCTATCTGGACACTTGGAGTAGTCAACTATGCCGTCAAACCTCCTGACTCAAGACCGCTGCGTCATCTCTTTCTGGAAGGCAGGCTGTGGCTCCACGGCCAGATCAGCCGAAGAAGTGAGCAACGCCCATCGGAAACATCGGACGATTCACCGCTCCTGCTATTCAAACTTCACCATGGGCATCTACCAAACCCCATTGCTGGAAATGATCTACAAGAGTCTATGGCGGCTGAGGCCTCAAACCCGGCCCAGTGATCCCTTCCACCACCGTATCTGCCCCTAGTACATCCTGGATTCGTTGCATACTGCGAGGCCAACAAATAATCAGCGATACACTTACTTCATCGGTGCTTCTTGTAAACCCAGCTCAGGCGTTCCAACCAGATGCCCAGAAGAAGCACTGCTGGGTGCCTGTAGCTCTGGCGGACGAGGCTCGATGTGTACGAATGGCGGAGGCCACTCTTTAAAACCAGAATACGCCATAGCTTTCTCGCCGTTCTCCCACTTGTTCTGTCTCGAATGGCACCCTCATCCACACACAGAAAAGAGACATTCAGGGTAGCAGCATCACTTCTAACGACATGGTGAAAGCACAAATGCCCTTGCCAGTCGGCAAACTCCTGGACCACCAAGAAAAGAAATAGCAATTCCCTGGTCAGATCTTCTCCAAGAGCAGAACGTCTTGTCTCATTCGTCTCGTCCGAGGGTCTGTTGCGCATAGCTCAGACGCTGGATCCAGGACTGAACCTAGCAAAGCTTACATTGTACGTGTGCCGATCCAGCTCCCCTGCCTCGAACGACTCCTTCAGCAATGCAACCAAAGCTTTCACCGCTACTGGCTGGCTTAGATCCGTGTGGTCGACGCTTTTCCCATGATAATTATCCCAGCATTACAGACCGTTCCAAGGATATCTACAAAGAGAATCCAGCGTGGCAGCGGGGGTGCAAACGGGTACCCGTGTTGTCGCCAATGAATCCAAGCGGCTCGCGTAAGGCTGAAGTCACTGGATACCCGCACAATGCCAATGCATAGTCATGCGATGTCCACAGCCCAGACGTGAGCAACGTCGATTGATTTGGCCGCGGTAGTGCCGAAGGCGGCTGCTCAGCAAAACTCTGTTGGTAACTAGAAAATCTGACACAGACTCGTCGGTGTTGGACAACCCATTGAAACGGCGACCTTCAAACTCTAATCATCGTTGTAGACCGGGCTGTATCTCCGACTACACAGTCTTAGTGGCACAAAGCCACCCCTCGATTCACTGATTGACCGGGTCTCGGCTCGTTGCACGCGGGGTGGGCACGGTACACTGGACGGCAGGTCGAATGCCGTCTCGAGGGATGAACCTGCCAGAACTTTCCATCGTAATCGAACGATCAGCCAGGCTCGCAGACTCATCCTGTTGCTTCGCATCTGAGCACTGTTCTCAGTCAGCCACGGTAGCATCGTCAACGTCGTATGCCTCCCGACGGACAACCGATCAGAGATCAAACTATGCGGCTCAGAAGGCGAGCGGCTATGCGGGAAAAAAACGTCGAAGATCCTCGGATGTTTGTCTCCCAACCCTCTCACCATGATCGACAGCTCGAAACAACGACGAAGAGAGGCCATGAGCTCAGTGGCAAAAGGATTGCGCCTATTCCCGAACGTATCGATTCGTCCATTCGGAAGGAAAAAAAATCCCGCGTCACTTTAAGCTTATACATTTCTCACATAAATTTAGAGATCGCTGACCAAGGCTTATGGCTGCCTGTCTGTGGAATGTTGTCGATCTTGCGATCCCAGAGCACCTTTGGGAATGTTTCTCATCTGCAGTGCCGTCAACGGGCATACGGAACCTTGGAGCTTGAAAAGTCCCTGTCGGGCCAGCAATGCCGTCCAAAGGCACTGAAGGCCGCTACGGCCATTGCTGTCACTTTGAATTCCAACGACAGTCATCGAGTCTCACAAGAAGAATACCGACCCGGCCACACTTTGGATCGCATGAGTTTATCTCTCAAGCAAGCGTAAGTGCTGCAAGTTGCCGGGAAAACACGCTCTAGGGTGGCCGCATCAGGCGCAGTCAGCCACAGAATCACACCCCGTTGGTATCTCCAGCTCAGCCCCAGCTTCCGTCCAACAACATTCCTCCGCCGTCGTGGGATTCAGAAGACTACCGCACATCACTGATTGGCCCTGGGAATACCCAAGGGCTGGCTGCCGCCGACATGGCGCCCGCATAGCCAGCGACAGCCCTACCGTAGGGCTTATCGTGGGATTCAAGGGTGCAGCTCAGGCCTCGCATGTTCCATCGGGTGTAAGTGTTGGAACGGGGAAGCCGGCCGTAGCCGCTTCAGCCGCTTCCCTCATGGAGCGTCTATCGCATGATGATTTACCCAGCCGAGCTCACAGATAGGCTAAATGACCACAGTATGCCGCTCCTTGTGTCCGCCCCGCCTTCCTGGTGAAGAGCAGGCTACAGCGGGCGTAAGGGTGATGCGAAAGAGAGGAAGACAGAAAGAAGGTTCTGTGATCGCAGCCGCTATATCTTGATCGAGGTATCGGCCCTAATGTCGTGGGGTTAGGTTGCTGTTGAAGGCTGGAGCACGTCCTTCCTCGACATGTGTTCAGGGCTTGCTTTCATTGGATGAAAAATAAGAAAGAGTTTCCAATGTTCAACTGCTTTGCGGCCCGGAGGACGCACAGCTGAGAATCCCGGCTGACAGGAGAGGGAATGTGGGCAGAGAAACACAACGGCTGACGGCTTGGCGCAGCTTACCATTCCTAGCATGCTAGCCCAGCCCGTCCAACCCGTTCCCGGATGCCCCTCCGGGATTGTGGGGGTGGGAACGCGAACCCGCGTCCGACCTTCCGGACGGGGGTGGGGACAAGTCCGCTGCTGGACGCACTTCCGAAGTTTGACGACATTTCGGCGGCGGCGAGAGCGTTCTCCACATTCCCTTTCCAGTAAGGAGGTCTGCTGTCCTACGGGAGAACAGGGAGACTTTGCTGGGCTGCGTGGTTTTCGTTGCGGCGTGAAGCTTTGTCTTGCATGGGTGACTCTGGACCGCGTGACTGTGCATCGGCATACGGATTGGCAGGCTCGTGAAGACAAATGTACTGGACTTGATTAGCAATGCAGAGACGAAGACTTGATGTACAACCAGCGTTCTTTTCTCTCCTTCCTGCTTTTCTACTTCTCTTGTGTTCCTCTGACTTGATTCGAATGTCATGCCAATGTCTTGTCCAGTCTCTGATCGAAACGGTTGGTATGTAACAAGAAGCCTAGAAGTAGTTGCCTTCCTCAAGCAAGCTCCAAGCAACCTTGATCAATTTCTTCAGTCTTGGCGAATGGGTCTGGTATAACTAGTCATGCAGACGGGCCTCTGATTCCTTATCTCGGTATCCCACACTGCCGAGTCGAGTAGGTACGGATACGGACACTGGATGCGCTATAATTTCCTTTTCGGTCCGGATGAGCTGGGATATGCCTCCCGTGGGCTGCTTTCCTTCCTAAAAAGCCAATGAGTCAATAATTTGACCCGAGTCAACTGCTGGATCTCCTTGAGAATAAGTCCGAGGACAAACTTCTCTTCATGATCCTGGTTGGGAACCTTCTGTAGCTTGCTGACGCGTTAGCGTCAGCCTAGAGGGGGGAATGAGGAAGTATACTGCGGGAGGATATGTGGGTTTTGGCCCAGGATACAAGATGGTGTATTCGTGTAACGTGCTTAGAGTTGGGTTGGCGATATCACAAACGCCAGTCCGAACATGTTGGTGATAATCTAGCCAAGGTTTTGCTCTTCGAAGCAGTGTTGAAATCAGCTTCATGAGGGCAGATCAGGCAGGGACTTGGGTCGGCTACTATCACCTTGACTCATCGTACATGGGTTGCTTTTAGTAAGAAGCTTTGGTTACACTTCCGGGATAGAAGCAGACATTCGGGACTTTTTTTTTTTTTTTTTTTTTTTTTTTTTTGCAAGTGTTAGTTTTAGGCGTGTGGGACTTACGATTTGGGCTGAACTGTTTTACAAGGGTTCAGATGTAAGAGCAGTGGCAGTTGCGGGCGTCAGTGTTCTTTTTCACTGGAGTCTGATTAGAGCTGTACCACGACTGGCCTGCGGAATCGGACTGGTGTAGGCAATAGAGACGGGTCCGGCACCGTTGAAAGACACGAGCCTACGTACTTGTCAAATCAGAGAAACACACGCTTTTGAGAGACTAGAGGATGGAGCAGGACTGGTACAATTGGAAGTGGCCAAGGTGGCTTATGCATGGTATCTTTTGAAACTATCGCCACGAGTCTAGTGACCACGATCTTGGTTCCTGTCAGCGGTAGCTGAGGGACTAGCTGAATGTCACGGCCCCAGCCATAGCCACGTCTCTCCAGCTCTTTGGCTTTACGGAACTCTGGCCCTTATGTCTTTGGTCGTTGAGGCTTTCGACGACAGTCTGGAAGGCCATCGTCCGAGTTCTCTTCCCTGATATAAGCGATGAAGATGTCTAGTCACACTCATAGCAGCGCGCCATATTGCTACATGCGAATGGTCTTGGATCCGGGCCGGAGAGCTCCGGATTGTTTCTCGGTGCTGCTTACATCTGTGGGTCTGGGTCTTTCACGTCTAACAGAAGCTCTTTGGAGGGAGGGAAAAAAACTAGCTGTAGAGCAATACACCCATTGTTGTGCTTCCCCCAACTACCTAATACACTGACTACAGACACAAGAGACCAAGAGATAGAGCAGCTTCAAAGTTGCTTTCTGGTTGATGAATTGGACTTATGTCCAGTCAGAGTCAAAGTCGCAAAAGCATAGTTGCGGCTCTGCCTGAGCCCACCGCAGCTGCAACAGCAGATAGTCTAGAGCTGAGCTCAATTGGCTTCTATGTCCCGGGATGGAAAGGGGGCGGTTGGAACCCATGTTCAATATTTCCTGGTCTGAGCTGAGTTGTCCAGCAGAGCTGTGTACATGTTACCTTGATGGAGCACTGGTCGTGTTTAGGTACTCTCCAGACGGGTTAGTTGGTGGTAAAGCATACAGAGTAAAAACATGGATGAGTGATGAGTCTACCAGAATGAATGGTGGGCGACACGGGAGATGCGTGGACCTCAGAGCAGGACAGTCTGAACTCGCAGCAATACGATGCAACACGTAAATCTAGAAAGCCTTTTGAAAGCACTCTTACTGCATTTCCAGATTGCATGGGAGACAAAAATATTGCCGTACATGTTTACTTGTCTCTTGAGACTCAACTCAAGATACAAAAACAGAGTCTCCGGTGACAAAAGAGAAATGTGGTCTGTATGCATCCGCCGATAATCGAAATCGGGTCCCTTGCTATTCAGTCTGAAGAATGGAAGGCAAGGATGATAACCACTACACTACAGATGCTTGTGTTCAAACGGCTTGGAAATAGCCAATATGTATCTACAATGTGCGGGCTCGCTTGCGCTAGCAAGGGCAAACAACGATCCACATGCGGGATTTAGTCAGCCATCGGACTCGACAGCCATTGTCCACATTGATGCTCTTGAGACATGTTGCGATCAAGAAGTTGGCGATCTGGCGGGAGGAAATACAAGTAAACATGGTATCTCATGATACCAGATTCCGGTGAGTTCATTCGGCATGTTAGTACCTCTCTTCATCGTACCTTGGTGGAGGACGACGGGTGGGCCACTGTAGGAGCACGATATTGGAAAGAGGAGTTGATTGCTTCTTGTTCTTCAAGATGCCGAGCAAGCTAGTGCCTGGCCATATCTTTGTATATCATTAATGAGTCACACACAATCAATAGCGTCCAACTTTTGGCGATCATCACGAATGATGCGCCAAACCTGATGGACATACGTCAAATATCTCTAGGCCTCGGACAATCAGTTCCGTAAAAATTCACTACAAAAAGACCGCCCAACTATCTTCCCCTGAATGCTACTGGAGAGCCGTGCGAACTTCATACGGTAGACGTAGTAGATGGCGGCAAGACAGTGAGAAGAAAGAGCTCTCCTAGAACAGGAGAGCTTGTTGTAGATGCACTCGAGGTTGATGATGATGTTGAGGAAGATGAGGTGCTGGTTGTACCCGATTGTGTTTGCGATCCTACTGAGCTAGATAGGGAGCTTGTTGCAGTTTCACTCGGGGTGCTGATGGAATTGGTGACTTGGCTATTCGTCGAGGAACTAGTTGTCGAGACTTGACTTGTCGACGAGGAGGTGGAGCTCGGAGATGATGATTGGGTTGATGAAGTAGAAGTCGAACTTGAGAGACTTCCTGATGCATTGGTGGAAACAGAACTAGGTGTTGTAAGACTGGTAGAAGAGCCGCTGGTGCTTGATGAACCTGAGATGGTGTTTGAGGTCACGGGTGTTGTGACTGTGGTACTTATTGGCGAACTTGATGTAGTAGTGTTAGAAGATGGAGTGCTGCTAAGCGAACCTGTAGGCGAGGTGCTCATGGAAGTAGTGCTGGAGGAAGAGGGGGAGGAAGATGAAGTGGTCCCTGTCGATGAGGATGAGGGTGTGGATGTGATCGATAGTGACGAGGATACCGTTGTCGAAGGTGATGTCAGCGGAGTGCCTGATGTTGATGAGGAGGACGTAGAGGAGATGGATGTCGAAGATGTTGTCGAGGAAGATACAGGCGACGTAGAAGAGGACGAGGCAGAGTCAGTCGAGGAAGAAGAGGGTGAGGATGAGGATGAGGATGAGGATGAGGATGAGGATGAGGATGAGGATGAGGATGAGGATGAGGATGAGGATGAGGATGAGGATGAGGATGAGGATGAGGATGAGGATGAGGATGAGGATGAGGATGAGGATGAGGATGAGGATGAGGATGAGGATGAGGATGAGGATGAGGATGACGATGACGTTGACGTTGAAGAAGAGGTGGAGGATGATGATGAAAATGACGAAGATGAGGTAGACGTAGTAGTGGACGTGGAAGAGTCGGACGAGGTTGAAGTCGTCGAGGTGGATGAGGACGAAGGGGAGGATGTGGACGATGAAGATGAGGTTGAGGACGTGGTAGAGGTGGTCGACGAGGAAGAAGACGACAAGCCGACGGGCACCGCTCTCGTGCCATAAACAGAATACAAGAGTTGATTTCCCGTATTTCCACCACAGTTTGCATTCGGAGAACCCTGGGGAGGAGTCTCGCCGCAAACATAGTTGCAGTTGCTATCAACAACGCCAACCGTGTCAACGAATCTGATATCGAACCCATTTATAGAGCAGTAGCAATTTGTATCGCGAAGGAGAGTGAATTCCCTGCTATTAGCTATGCATAAATTTTTGGCAAACAATTGGCCCATTGTCGGCCCCGATTCGTGCTACAACAATCGCCGCGGTATTGTATAGCATACCGCATCCCCGGTACGCCATGGGCGGAACATTGTATGCAGTCCCCTGACCGAGCACGCCGTTGAAGGCATAGCTGAGGGCGAAGAAGACTGTTGGCCAAAAAGAGGGCATCATTGATCGACAGTCTCGTCTGGAGGACTCAAAAATGATAATGTAAGCACTTGCAGCACAGCAGGCGATGGGACCTTGAAATTTACATATTCAAACAAAAGGAGCAGATACTATGTTTTATGATTGCAATAGAATCGTGTGGGCAGTGTTGTTAATTATCCGAGTGAACCGAGGGTTTCACTCTGTTGAAACCATGAGGCTTATTCACTAGGTAACGATCATCACCAGTCCCCAGCTTGGTCAAAGGGAGAAGGGGCAGGTATGGCACGCAAGTTTAGATCTGAGATGACAATGAGGCGGCGTGGCTGTCTCGGCCTTTCAGCCCAAATACCATGGATCCAGTTCAGACACGTTCTCACAGAGACGTGTGATTGGATCCAGAGCGGCTCATCAATTACTCAGGAATTCAAGCCCGTTGTTGAGAGTTCAACTGTAAGACATCCTTAAGCTAACTGGAGATCTTGGCGTCAACATTCCTGATATTCAGACCTTCAATTCTTGTGCCGCCTGTAAAAAGATGGCAAATCCAAGCTTCTTGCTTCGTGTAATTGCTCTATCGTTTGAAGGATCGAGGCTAGGTCGATTTGAGAATCGAGCACTGTATGTAGCGCTGAGATGAGATTCTTTGGCCGAGTAACCAAAAATGCTTGATCTGGAGTTCAAAATTGGGTTGCATGCCTTGGCTCCAACGTAATAAGACACAGTAACGACATGCTTACTTACAACTGGCCAATATCTGGGACAAATACAACAACTGGGTGGCCCTAGGACACCATGGATGATTTCGGCATAACTAAATGTATCGCAACATGCGGCCCGGGGGATTCCTCGGATTGCTAGATGATGGTCGGAAAAAATGGTTCTTTTGAAGGAGAAAGCGTCCACCTCGAAGGAAATTGAACGGCCACACGGCGTCGGCATTGCCTTTCGATTACCTAAGTCAGCAGTATCCCTCGCAGCACTCTGCCCATTCGAGTTCTATCTCAGCCCACAGTCCACTTCTCTGCTTCTATAGAGTAAGGAACACGAGAAGTATGAGATGATACAGCCACAGACAAGTCATAGCATGGAAGGCCTCCATCTCAGTAACCAGAGCGTTCCTCCTACCCAAGCACAGAAGACGACGCTGCGGCGTGATGTCACCGCAGAAACCCGCAGACAATATCCTCAGAGCGTAAGCTCGCGCTCTACAGGTCTGCAGGAGACCTCGGCCACGAACTGCTGGACTCTTTCTCGGCAGGCAGATTCAAAGAAATTATGCTCATCCGGACGCTTGATTTGATATCCTTCTCCAGACTAGGTAACTCTGCAAAATCTACTTCGTTATAATGGATAGCACATCACATCTCTTCCGCACGTCTGGCTTCTTATCTAAATGGGACTTTCTTCTATACTATATCCTCACGGGTTCAAACATGCGAACACACTGGGCTCGGATTGGGGCGATGGGTAGAGAGAGGATCACAAGCATTTTCCGACTTGTTAGCTTCGAGCAAATATGGCCCTTCCTCTCCCTTGTCTCCCGCGTGGCCTCGGGCCGTGGGCAAGTGCGCCTGCGTTTCCCCTTCTCTCACTGAATTACATGCACAGGACAACGAGCCGGCCTAGCAGCTCCCTCCGAGGTTTCCTAATTTCCATGAAGCCACGCGGGAAAAAGCAAGTTGGCAGGCCGCCTTGGATTGGGTTTCTGTCGTTGAATCAAGCCGGAACTATCCCTCCTCCTGACGTGACAAGTTCTCGCGAAGGAGAGGTAAAATCTGCATTCCACGAAAATCCGGCCGGCCGAAACAATTTTCCGTAACCCACCCATTTGATTTACACAGTTTCCAAAATGATAGTCCGACTGCTTAACGGGCATTGGATGCAACCTTTCGCTTGCTTTCCCGAATTCGAGGCCACCGGTCATCCCCAACAACAGCTGTATCTTCCGCATTGAGTTCTTCCCGCATGAGTCTCCCGAAAGCTGTCATCAGGTTGCATTCTTTTTGCAGGTTGAACCGATACCCTTGTCTAGTGCGCCCCTCTGCGGAAGCTAGAAGCCAGACTTTCTCCAGCCATGTCCTTCTCAGTAGGGAGATGCCCGAGGGTGGACCTTTCATCTCATCTTCCATTCTTCCAGGGAAGCCAGGTTTCGAAGCTTCTCACACACCCCTCGTCTCGAAAAGCATCATCCATTTTGTTTTCTTTCCTCCGGGTGTCCGGTAAGATTTCTTGGCTTACTTGCTCAACAAGGAAAGATGCGATCAAAGCTCAAGAGTCTATCTCGATGTCTGGTACCTGCCAAGACCACACCAAGCTGCTACTGCGTAGGACGGCGTTAAGCGGTGTTTCTCTCCTATCTGCGCCTCACCGACACACTGACACTGCGGCCTTGGCCACGAGTCCTGCTGGTTGTGACAGCAGCTGTGCTTTCCGCAAAGAAATGCCAGCATGCAGCTGTAAGTTACCATGTGCAGCCGCAGCCCGCAGCTTGCATTTTGACTGATTTATTTGACAGTACCACTGTTGGGTTCCATGGTTTCCATCCGCGTACTTCGTCATAAAACGCATACTGCCATCTTTAGCCACTTTTACTCGGTAGCAGCGCCAGAAAAGACGCTCTATCCGGTCGAAGAACGAATGCGAAATATCTCCAGGAGACGTGGGCCCCTCAGAGGCCCGTTTTCTCCTCGCAAAATGGTCGTGGACAAGTTCACGTCCCGATTGACGCCTCCGGACCACACCACCGGATTTTGAGTGGGTTCCTCTCGTTTGGTTGCCCAATATGGCAGTCCGGCAGAGGGGGAACCATGGAAGAGAGTGTCCGTATTCTCAATGCAACTGGCCGGCGGCCTGGGAACCCCCTTTGCTTCACTTGCTCTTGGCAGCGGACAACCTCCCCGTCGACCTTACCAGACGGCTAGCCTCACTCGGTAGGAAGTGTTCACTCGCAACTGGCAGCCATGCGTCCCCGGACTGCCACGCCCTCAGCAGGGTCCAGATGTTGGCCCCATCCTGTCTTCACCAAAGTCTTGGATTACCGTTGTCCCTGCAGAGCACCGGCAGGCCGTAACGACCCAGCCACCTGCGCGATGACAGACGGTTTCAGAATCAGCCTTGGGAGAGCCGCTTGAGGCAATCGCAGCTGAGTGTGTTGCTCTGATGGGCTGGAGGTACCGCACCAGAGATATAATGTCCTGGACGATCTCCCCGTTCTCTGATTTTGGGTTACCGAAGAACAATCACATCTCGCAAACACTTCTCTAATACCATATCTGCATTAGCTCAACAAAACAATGGCTCCCACTATGGCAGCGTCCGCTTACACGGCCACTCCTAGTTCACCCTTCCCTCTGCAGCTCTCTCCTAGAGCTCTGAGGTCACCGAGGTCACCCATGACCTCCAGTCAGTCCGAAGTCCTGTCCCCTAGGGCCATGGCCAAACAGGAAAAGGACCTGTGCCTCCCAGCACAAGGCTCCATCTACATTCACAAGCCCGACCAAGACTTTTGGAATGTTCGTTGCGCCGAGACTCTGGACGCCTTCATGCAGGCTGCCGGTTCTTACACGCCGGCTCAGCGTGCCGCTCACCTCCAGCTTCTCTCGGAGATCATCGTCCCGTGCATGGGTCCTCACCCGGCCACGGCTCCGACCAAACCTCTACTCACCGCCGACGGCTCTCCGTTCGAGCCATCGTGGAACATCACCGACTCGGGCTCCTCTTCGATTCGCTTCTCATTCGAGCCCATGGGTCGCCATGGCGGCTCAGCATCAGACCCATTTGCACAGAAGATCATCCCCGCCGTCCTTCCTGCTTTGCGTATGGTATCTCATGGCGTGGACACGCGGTGGTTTGAGCAGTTCATGTCCGCTCTATTCCTGACGGAGGCCGAGTCAGAGATGGCTCTCTCCAGACTTCCCAAGGGGACTCGCGCGCCAACGTCGTTTCTCGCATTTGACCTGGATGGCGGCAAGGCTGTTTTCAAGGCATACTTCTTCCCAGTCCTCAAACACATCGCGACGGGTGCCTCGACCGAAGACGTTACGTTTGACGCGATCCGCACCTTGTCACCACGGGGCTCCGACCTCTCCCAGTCTGCCAACGCTACGGAGGAGTACTTCAAGAATTGCCCATTTGCTATTCCGGTAGAAATGATTGCCCTGGATTGCATCGACCCTGCCGAAGGGGCCCGCGTCAAGGTGTACGCTCGCACACGGTCAAATGCCTTCAACGTCGTCCGCAACGTGGTGACTCTCGGCGGCCAGATCAAGGACGAGGCGACGCTCAAGGGCCTCGAGATTCTTCAGGGCATTTGGCATCTGCTTCACAACGAGGCAGAACCCCATGACGATGATTGGAACAAGGAGCCAAAGGTGGTGAATACTCTCCACAAGGGCATCTGCTACGGCTTCGAGCTCAAGCCCGGCGCGGAGTGGCCCGAGGTGAAGGCATACGTGCCGCTCTGGCAGTACGCCGACAGCGACGCCGTCATCTCCGCAAACCTGGCGCAGGCGTTCCGCTCCAGAGGCTGGGCCGTCGCTGAGAAGTACCAAGACGACATGGCTCGTTGCTTGTAAGTGAAACTCCTGCACCTGCCACGAATTGGAGACTGACGTGTTTGATTAGCCCGCGTTCGGACCTGAGCAAGACCACAGGCACGCACTCTTACATCTCATTCGCCTATTCCGAGAAGAAGGGCGCTTACTTGACGATTTACTATTCCATCAGGCCTCAGGACTCATTGCTGGCTTTCTGAGAGGGGCAGCAAGACTAATGCAGGTACTTGCTGCGTAGGACGGGGGCGTTTTCTTTTTTACTTTCTCACTTTTCTTACTGTATACCTGGTGCTCGCGCTCTCCCGAGGGGCATAATATCCTGAGCACCGTTCCCTGACATATGTGGCAGACCATGGATTTAGTGGTTTGAACCAAAGAGTCTCATATAAATGTATCCAGGGCAGACAAATTTGAATGACAAAAGACATAGACTGACGGAATAATCCAAGAAGTCAAATTAACCTTCTCACGCACATCTTCTGGTTTTGCCATGCTGCAATGTTCGTCTTGAGGTCCATAAGGCGGAGAAGATGATGAAGACGTGTGGTGTGAAGTATATAAGCGTAAATCCTAGCCAAAGTCTGTTCCTCGTATAAGTCTGTCAACACGTCGGATGGTCTTGGCCTGCCGTGGTTGGAGACTGCGATTGATATAATGCTGGGTGTACATAGCGAGGAAAATTAACCTCCCCTTCTTGTTCAACTCAAAGCAGCCGTCTAATGCGAATATTGATGTTGCTGGACCAAGGGGAAGAAAGATAAGCCCGTAACTTGCATTCCTTCTCCTTTTGTCCTACCTTTGATAACCTCCGCACCACGGGACCACCCAGGTGAATACACAACAACGAAGCCCTCATATACCCCTCCAACTCCATTCCCGTCACCAGCACAGCAGGCGTCCGTCTAGGTCGACGGATCAGGTCAAACTGGGTTGAGTGGTGGAGTGGTTTAAGGTCAGCAATCAAAATCGCCAATTAGCCTACTCGACGACAGGCTGTCCGAGTTCGAATCCCAGCATGAGCACCAAGAGATGTAGCCACACCGGTGGTGAACTCTTTTTTATTTATTAATTTCTTTCCCTTCCTTTGACATAATGTATCTAAGACCCCCCCCCCCCCCTTCCCTAAGTGCATTAAGAAAGTCTCTGCGGCAGCAATATCTAACCCTCCGTCACTCTACTCCAGCCCAAACCCCCGCGGAGATATCGCAACGGCAAACGTGTGATGAATGATAATAAGAACACCATCTCGAATTGGCTCTGATGCCGAATAAAGATGGTGGTGGTCAGCATCGGGTCGACCGGGACATAACGTGCGGACGTCCAACGTCCCGGACACACAAACAAACATCCGGTAGAGTTTTCCATCCCAGGCCTTCACTCCCACCCCCGTCATGCGTTACCTCGGGACGAGATATTCCCGCTCGACGACTGAAAAGAGATTCCCAGAGAGCTTGGACTACAGAAGCAATATGGTGTAGCGTGGGACTGGTGCGAGGAGAAAAGGAGTTACGTCATACTGCCTGTCCAGTCATGAAAGCTTCATCAGGAGCTCGGTCAGATGTCACGAGAGGGATATGATACCTTTGTAGCTCGCTAAGAGGAATCAATTTAAAGAATGTAGGTTTTTGGGAGGCCTATGAATACAATTTCGAGTCCCCAATGCTTTCCTTTACAGCTATCATGGCGTCCATTTGATAACAATAACGCTTGGTGGGAAAAATGAGAGTGTGTGTAGACGTCCAGCACACGATGCGTCTCCAATCGGAGCACATCAAAGGCATCCGATACGACGTTCGATACGTGTTGGGAGAAGATTCCTAGTTTTTGCCAATCCCGTTCCTGGAAAATATCAAAGTAAAAACAAAAACGCCGCTTCTTTATGAGATGTGTGGTTTCCTCTCTTGTCCAAATTTTGGTGGTTCGGTACGTGATTTCTTGTGTGGGTTGTTTTTTTCTGCAAAGCAACGAAAAGGAGTAAAAGGAAAAGTGGTATCATCAGTGTCGCACGAGAGTTGATTTTGAGTTTCAGTTCCAATATGATGTCGCTCTCCTAGACCTGAGCGGTCTCGGTCTTGGGAACATCCTCCTCGTCGTCCTTGTAAGGAGAAAGATCGGCGGAGTCGGCCATGAGTTCGGTCTTCTCCTCGACGGCACCGGCCTCGCGGTGCGTGTTCTTGCGGGCACGACGGCGGCAGTGACGGCGAGCGAAGGGGGCTTGGCGGCGGACGAAGACGCGCCAGAGGCAGACGAAGAAGGTTCCGACCATCATGCCAATGCTGAAATGTCGTGTTAGTGGATCCGTTGGAAAGGGGGTCACACGATCAAGGGGGGCCATGGGGAGTTGAATAACTTACATGCTAACACTGACGCCAGCAACAATGCCGATAAGGATCGGGAGCAGGATGTGGGAGGTGATGTTCTTAGCCAGCTGACCCCAGGTGTGGTGGTGGTGTCTCATCTGGCCGGCGTTGTGAGAGTGATGTCCGTGACGGTGCTGGCCGCGCATGCTTCCGTGCTTGCGGCCTCCACACTTCATACCACGCATGTTTCTCAGGATGGCGGCGCGCCATCTGCAGTAGAAGGTGGTGCAGTCCTCGGCAGGCGGCTCGTGGTCCTCCTCTTCCTTGTGGGACGGGACGGAGGTCTCGGTTTGCTCGACATTGCCAATCATGAGGCTTCCGGTAGGGGACTTAATGAGCTTGACCTTGACGTTGGGAACGTCGGCGACGAAGCTGTTTCCGACCTCGATGATTTGGAGGTCCACCTCGACGAGCTCGAGCTCCTGCTCCGTATCCTTGGCGACGGGGCGGACGCCTAGGCTGTAGCCCAGCTGAGGGGTGTTGGGGTCGGCGTTTTGAGGGTGCTTGGTAGCGGCCTCTGCGAAGTCGGGAACCTGAGGAGCACGAAGGGCCTTGTACCACGAAGCAGGCTTGGGGTAGAGCTCAAAGTCGTTGACGAGGAGGTGGTCGACTCCGGTGGTGTCGGTTTCGATGGAGAAAGTGAGCTCGAGGTGGTTGTCGAGGTCGGTCATTGTGTGGTAGCGGCCATCATGTTGGCGCATCGTCAAGGGGCAGCCGGGGCAATCGACCTTGACGCGGTGGCTCGCGAGGCCAACCTCTGAGGAAGCCTCCACGAAGGGGAGGGTCTTGACGATTTCATTGTCGACTTCGGAGATCTCGGGGACGATGACGAAGGCTTGCGTGGCCGTAATCGCCAGGCCGGCGGCGGCGAGGGATTTCAACAACATCTTGACGGGGGGCTGTGTCGTTCAATCTGTTGGTTGGTTTTGATGATGTAGGGGAGTGTGTCGATTGGTTCTGTTTGGTGACGGAGTGTTTTGTTTCGACAGAGAGTACAGTCGAAGTTGGTTGATAGGTAGGGTAAGGAGAAGGGAGGTTTAGGTTTTGAAGATGGAGTGGGAGGAGAGGTGCAATGACATGAGTGCCGTGGTGTGTGTCAAGTCAATGGGTTAAGGTGGAGTAAAAAGGGACCTGAGCAGCAGCAGGCAGACTCGTAGCGTGTGTCGGTCACTTCGTAACCACGGTACGCAGGCAACGCAGGGCAGGTGTGCGCTGACGCAGCCCAGTCGTACGGGCCTTTACCCAGCAAAAAGATGAAGATCAGGTGCTGCAAGTGGCGTTAGTCTGCTGGATGCGTGGCTGCTCGGGGGTGGAGAGAGACCCAGAGAGGGGCAATCGGGGACAGCTTGGGACGCGCTAAGGGACGGACGCCGGGACGACACAGGGCAGACAGGTGACTGGCCTGTCTCAATGGACGGGGGATTCGCTGGCGATTGCGTGTGCCGGTGGGTGGTGAGTGACTTATCCGGAACCTGCGGAGACGAATGGGGAACTTTCCTCGGTGCTTGCAAGTTGCAAGCTTTCCAGGAGCCTATTAATGCCTAAGGCCAACAAGGGTCATGCCGTAACGCTGCACATCCCTCAGCCCGATTATGTCATTCGCCCACTCCTTTCCTCGCAAAGTCATCCTCTGTGCCTCTCTCTTTCCTTCGTAGAAGCACCGCGAAGGGTCGATCGAGTCTACTCAGGGGCCAGGCACATCTATCTCACCGGGGCTCGCACTCGCCCATCGTCCACTCACCTTGCACACCTGTCGTATATCTCCACTTTTATCTCTCTCTTCCACTTTCCGCCGCCTCCGTGCCGGACCACTTTCACGCGGCAACGGGCAACTGCCAAACGGGGGCCAACCTTCCAAGACTTCCAATACACGTATCGATTCGCATGGCATGAGCGTCGTCCGTGCAGATTCACCCGTACAGAAATGTACAATCAATCGCCCTCCTTCGTCCTCCCCCCAGCTCCGATGGATTTACTTGCTCCTTTCTTTTCCATCTCTTTGAGTTTTCGCCTACCTAATCTTTCTGTACCCGGGTCCTTGACGCATCAAAGCTAAGCGCGCCGCTGCTATCCCTGCACTAAGACCATTTGCTCCCTTCCATCTTCATATTGACAGGCCTCAGCACGAGCACTGAGCACTGAGCACCCTGGTAGCTGCCTTCATGACGTCTACGGCGTCTGCTCAAGTCCTCCTTTGCCACACTTGAATAATTGGTCTTTGATTCGAGTAAGACGGACCGAAGACGCAGGGAGGCGTCTAGGCAGGTGAAAGAGTAACTTGGTGCTGGGTTTCCTGGTTCTGCTCGAGGTGAAGCGAAAGGACGGTGCTATTGATTTTCCATCGTTGCATCGCTCACTCCTCAGCCAAAGCCCTGCGGCGCCTCAGAGCAAGGGGTCTCATCCGGGTCTGAAACTCCGTCGCCGTATTATCGTGATACAGAAAGCCACCCAAAGCCCACTCCAAAAGACCTAGCTAGCCCCCCTTTTTTTCTATTCTTTCTATTTGCCTTGAGAAATGAATACCCCTACGTTCCAGAATAGAAACGACAGTCGTCGGGCTGTGCTGTTCCGAACGGGTGGGTTCTTGGCTCGAAAAATGGTTCATGTTGGTCTCAATGGTTCGGTCTGGCCGTTGAATGCTGCCCCCAGCCCAGTCCTCCCCAGATATTCAACAGTGACAGGCTTTGACTCTTGTGGGTTTTTTTTACATGGTTACTAGCGTAGATCTCCAAATACGAAAGGCCTCGTCCTCGTGAACTGGAGAGTAAGCGCGGCCCTTCCGCCGCATATCGGCCTCCGAAAAGTTTCCAGGCCGGCCGCACCGGGATCGCCGGAAATTGCACATCACGCAATTCCCGCTCTCCGGACTGTACCGTCTCTCCGCTCCGGTGTGCGTTTTTCCCGCCGTCTCCGCCGGGCAACTTCCGCTTTAGGTACATTTGTAGGCAGGTAGGCAAGGCAGAAAAGCAATAAAAGGTCGCACTCGTCTCGCTTTAAGTCCTGATGCAGGCGAGGCGTTGAGAATAATTGGCCTGCTTGATCTGCCTTGCCACGAAGATTTCAGTAAGCTCGAACCCGCGTAACATATTGCTAAATAAGGGCTTTCCACGCTCAAGAGGATTCTTCTCACAAGGCATACATCCACGAATATGCGCCGTGTTTGTTTCTGACTCTATACCTAGTATGACTCCCCTGGTCAAAAGTAGTCCTTGAAGATCAGTGAGAATGTTCCTAGGTCTATAAAAAAAAAGAACGGATATTGGCAAGTTCCACACAGTCCGATTTGTCAACAAATCTCATTCTCGATTACTCGACCTCACGGGAACGTCAAATAGAGAAGTAGAAAATTCAAGGTCATTTCGTCTCTCCCATCCTTTGCATCGTTCTTTGCATCACTCTCATCCTCCTGCAAGTCCGTCGTGTCAGAATCAGCATCAAGCACTTGACCTCGTCTGCGATCATGACCAAATATCCAGCAAAGTGGCTGAGGACGGTTGATCATCAGACCTGCGAGAGGAAAAGAAGACTTTGGCCACGGTTAGAATATGTCTCAACCAAGTGAGCACCGTCTCCATCTCAGAGCCCGGGGTAGCCCAACGCTCAACAGCTAACGCCCAGAATATGAAATACGCTGTGGAAGTGTATGCCGAGATTGCCAAGGAGACTCAGTACAACGAGAGTCACGGTTCGTCCAAATGTGTACCTGCCCTCGCAGGTTCAGGGCATCAAATCGCGATCGTACGGCTGTAATATGGTCAATGGGAAGTACTTCCAGCCGGCTTTTGAGCTCAACTGGCTGGTGAGGTACTTATCATCATAATCTTGCAAGGTAGTAGCAATGCAGCAGTATGTAAGTCCTGAATAGCCTCACCCTGATAGGCAACATCTCACAACAAAATATAAATGTACATCTGGCCGTCATAATAGAGTAAGCCCCCGGCGGCAACGGTGTGCTCTGCCTTGGACTGGGCCAAGGCTGATGTTAGACCGAGAACACAGTCGTAGCATTCTGCTCAAACTTGTGCCAAACTTCATCGGTCCCAGTCGAGCACACCACAGAGTTTGAATACACGCTGGAATGTCACCCTCGGATCCGGCGACGAGTCTTTGAATGAGCTTCGTCGAAGTACCATGAATGACTGGCGCTGGCGCTGGCTTGTGTTGTAACTGGGCAAAGGGCACGAAACCTCCTCGATACCCATCTCCGAGTGTTCCGCGGGACGCATTTAGAAGATGCCTTCATCCGTCGTGTACTAGGTCGTAAAAGACAACGCAGCTAAGGTAGGTAGGAAAACATCCTGTTTTCGAGGTCATGGACAAAACTTGACCTTTCTACACGCCCGCGCCATAAAGCAGGTGAGAGCGACGAACCGCGTATGATCTCTCATCTCACCAGGTCAGTACAAATATAAACCTGTCACTAGCCCGAGCCAATTATTAGAAGGATACAACTACAGCCGCAACGGATTCGAGGAAGATCATAGGCGTCTCACTGGTTAAGCATCAGATACCCGGTGGCTGAGGACAGAAAAAATCGCAAAACGTTGCTTTAGGAAATCTTGCCATGGTCTCTTTGGAACGAAAACGCCCACAGGGCAAACCAGCTACGCGAAAGGACAGATAGAGCGCTAAAGACATATCTAGAGAGCTAGGAAGGAGCATCAATGATGTCATTCCCAACATGCTCTTAACAAGTTCATCAGTGGAGCCTATTTCAGTCTCCCGATGTGATGCCGTCAACATTTCAGCAGCAGTTTCTAACCCAAATCGTAATTCTCCTTCGTCATCGCTGAATACCGTCTCCGGTCAACATCCAGCATGAACGGCGACAGAATTTGACACAGTTGTCAACGACTACCATAATTCATTCAGCGTCAAACCCTTGCCGACGAGTGAAGCATGTCTCATCGTACGATTAGGATGATCACGTTGCCAGACCCACGCAGAGATACTAGCTTGCATAGCGACAAAATTTCCGAGTAATATTACTTTTGAGTTTTGCGTGCGCCAAGAGCCGCCATGGTATCCAGTTGTCAGGAACCTTGATTGATGGGCAACTGCTGTTCGTTTTAGCAAAGATTATCCAAGGGAGGGAGAGAACAGTCAGCCTCTGGGTGTCTTGATATTGGCCTGTTTGTGCAAATAGCGATCAGGAATCCAGACCCCGTTTGCGCATGCACAAAATTTAGTGCGTATTACGGTAAGGGGACCGAAATGCGACTCAAGCTCAGAGATTGAGTTTTCTAGAAGATTAAGTCAAGCACGCAAGCTGATTAGCCTGACGTTCGACATGATCGACACTTGGTTGGAATGTTCCCCAAGGCTGGAGATGAGATTCGGGGACCGGCATGTGGATGCCACCAGTTCGGAATCCGGAAGAGATGGACATCATCCATACCTGGTAGTGTGAAATTTGAAGCCCCTTCAATATCCTGTACAATAGCAAACAAAATCAGTTGCCAGGCTTTGCTGGCGAGTCGAGGGATGGGACAGCTTGTCATCGCAGCTTGGAGCAAGCCAATGGGTACTGTCCAAAGGGAGCAAATGTTCTTGGAATCTGTGTGTCGCGTTGCGAATAGATAACGTGCTACCCACAGTGATATCGAGGTGAAGATCCCGAGCCTTGCAGAAAATTATCTCCACATCGGGGGCTAGTCGGCGCCGTGGGGCCGGACGGTTTGACGTTGACAATCGGGTGCGGGAGCTGACGAGCTGCCAATTAGAGGCTGGCTCAGAATTGAAGGGTTGTTGATTTCAGAGTTCAAACCCCATCATGGCGCTGGCGCTTGGATGGTTTGCCCTCGGAAAGAACGCAGTTCGTTTCTGGCGGCTTTTGTCGGAGATGACGTGCCGGTCAGATAGGTGCGACCGAAAATGAGGTCAAGATTGGAGAACGGATCGCCTGACATGCAGGCCGAAGTCTTTTTCGCCGTGGGAAATGATGGTTACCCGCGTGACTGTCGGCGCATTGTTTTGTTTCGTCCCAAGGTTCCACGTGTGGATGAGGAGTCGAGGACGGCTATTCAAATTCTGCGGAGATACGGGCAGTGAAAGCAGTCATTGAGTTTCCCTCTTCCGCTGATGTGAGGCAGAAGGTATCTCGAAATGGCTGCCTCGGTAGCAGATGGGAGGAGGCATAGACCCTGAGCTCAAGCCGCGCGGGAGAGGTGTGTATGGACAATGCCGTCGTGTGCCTGAAGTTTCTCTCATGCGGCCTTGCTGTCGTACGCTTCCGTGTTCTGCGTGCCTGAATCCTATGCCAGCAGCCAGAGCGCTCGTCTGGGGTCAAAGAGGCAACAGTGCTTTGCTGACCCCCCTCAGCGCATGCTCGTAAGAGACCCGT